AGGGAAAAGTAAACTTGGGTTACTTTAATGGTGGAAGTATCAATTCATTTAAGGACCATAAAAGTTGCCCTGATCTGTGCCTTCTTCTCATTAAATTGCAGTTAACACCATTAAAGTGAAACATAGATGTTTATGGGTTCAGTACTGCCATCCTGGCTTTAATGAGTTCCCAAAATCAGAGGAAATGCACACCTTTATAACTTGTACATATTAAAAGCAGGAAAGTCTGACATATAAATACAAATTAATTATCTTTTATCTAGATGCACTGAATGTACAATGCTTGCCAAGAATACATACCAGATCCACAATCAATATCTTGCCTATATTTAGCTTGTCTCTCAAGTACTTGGCAGTAATTGCAATCGAATTAAAAAAGCAGAATCCCCTGTGGAACAGAGAAGAACCGAAATAAGAAAGCAAATCAGTCAGGAAAACAGCTATAAATAATGTTCAGAGCATTTTAAAAAATGCTATATGATCTCTGAGGCCATAAATCGGCTTCTGGGAGTACCTAGAAAGACTTTTCAGTCATCTGCTAACAATTACAGTTCTTCAGAGACATGCACAACGCAGGTGATTGCCAGTAACCTTAGTGCTCCGAGATGGGCAATATTCCCTGGTACTTACATGGCTGTTGATTCTTCAGCATGATGGCCTGGGGGCCTTACAACAGCAAAACCATTCTGTAAGAACAAGATAGGTTTTCAATTATCAGCTTAAAAAAATACTTGACTCAGTGCAAAACAGAGTAGCAGGCAGACTGGACTGAAATCTATTAGAGGCTCTTGAGCGCTTTTTCTTCCAATCACCCTTTCAAAGCACTGCCAGAAATAATATATTTGAGAACAGTGGCATAAAAACTTCTATAAATATACACATGCACATACATACATACACACATAATGTGATCTAAAGAGGAGGAAAAAGGCAGGATAAGAAAGTCGTTGTTATCCATTCTGATGCCTAGAATTCACATTTAAAAAGAAGCAGAGATCCCTGATCCATTCTTGATCTAAATTCATGCAATGTTACATTTCTCCAGCTTGAGATGCTTCAAAATAAAAGTAGCTCGAGGTATATGTTTTACCTTATTAGTCAGTATTGATCCTACCTTCCCTATGGACTAAATGATAAATTCAGACATACACTCATGTGTCATTCCTAAGAGTAGAAAAAGAATTACAATTAACATCTCCTTTTTCTGCAAGCTATACATTAAACTTGGGAACTTGCCACACTCGCAAGTTTAATAGATTCCCTGAAGTCAGTTTCTAACACACTTTTTGGAATTGTACATAAATTTCATAAAATACAGCACTAGGTTCAGTGATGAACAAGCACATTTTTGCCTCTAAAGTCACCGAAGATGAAAGAAAAATGAAGTTTCCTTCCTTCCAATGTGAGTAAGGTAAAGGGAAAATAAAATGTAGAAGTACTGACAAAGTAGCTCTGTTGAGAAAGTCTGATTATGTATTTTAAAAGTAGTGTCTCATATGGGTGTGTATCACAACAAATTTCTCTAAAAATAGTCAGACCCAGGACTAACACCATTACTTAATCAAATTTACTCTTTATTTCAACTATTGAGCTATATATTTGACATCAAATTAATGGCAATCAACACATATATAAACGATTAGAAATTATAATCCATGCATGAGTATATGAGCAAAATTTGTATTATCAAGCAGCCTCACACAAATACCATATGTATGGCTGTCAAACCAACCAAACATCATACTTTCAGAGAGGAGGGGAGAAGAAGAAAAAGGCTGGAATATTTATATATTTTAATAATCAGTATTAAAGTAGTCCAGTTTGATATACTTAAGGTAGTTAAATGTCAAGGTTTCAGCCTTTATTCATCTCAGACACAATAATCACTGAGTTTCCACTCACACTGGTGTAAATAAGGAAGAACAACATGGCAGTGAATAGAGTTACCTTGGTGCCTAAGAAATCTGTTTATTTACAATCCTATGTGTGTACCTGTGCAATTATCTACCTATGTTGTTTCACTGGCATTTATTATTAGCAAATATTACCAGGCTATCTCGTATAATTTGCTGCTGAATATAATTTAAGCAGCCATCTGCAAAGTTTTGGTGAGTGTGGTAAAGTTCTATAAGACTACGGCAAACTTACACTATAATGCAAACGGAGTACATCTGTGAGAGTGTTTCTTCTGGCTACCATTTAAAGAATCTGGGGGATTTGACATCCTGCCTTATTTTGCATTAAATGGCCACATTAAAAAGCAAAAAAACCCAAACAAACAACCCACCCAAACCCCCAAAATTATAGACAGAACAAATATATATCCTGATATTTAGGCAGGTATTCCTGGAAGTGGAATATAAATTGCCTGCAGATCAACCAAACCATCAAAAAAGGCCTTGTGGACCTCACTAATCTTCAGAAATAAACCAGCCTTACAAACTAAGCTAAAACTCTACTCCTTATCCTTGTGAGGGTTTTTTTTTGACATTTCCTTTTCACAGAAAATATGACTTAGAGAATCATTCTGTGAATAATTCACTTGAGGAAGCAAAGTACGGGTATGCTGAGGAATGTACAGATAGTGAAGTAAAAAGACTCAGAGAAGAAGGTATTACTAGAGTGACAGCATCATGCTACTGGTACTTCATTCTCTCAATACTTGTAAGAATTTGGAAAAAGCCCATGCACGACTTACAGCTGCCCCTGCTCAGCTCACAGCTCATTACCATCTATATTTATCAGCATTCCCAAAAGATCAATAGAATTAAGATTATTATCTCTGAGAGGATTTCATAGAGACAGAAAAAAAATCAACACTGCTGTTTTTGACAACATGACAGTTACTGTATAGGCTTCCCTTTTCTGTTCCTATACTTTGACAAGACTGTTGGGAAGCCCGGTTTTGTTATAGCAAGTTAATTTTTGCTGTCAGAGTATAAGTTAACAATTACAGTTCTCCATGACCATGCAGGTCATTCATGTCAGTGCTGTGACTTTTACATTACAAGAAATTAAGTATTCAGGTGCAAAATTTTCTTTTTTAAAAAAACATGTTATATTGATTTATATATTTTATGCATAAAAAATATGTTATATTGAAAAAGCATGTAATGTAACAAAATTTTATCAAACACTGAAAACTTTTTAACATACAGTATTAACAGCAACTTTTGTGACATTGATAAAACATTTCATTTCTCCTACTTTAAAACTTTGTATGAACGCAGTGTACGTTAGCACAACGGAACATGAATTCATTTATTTAGGCAATATTTAAATACCAGACAGTCAGGTCAGAACACTAGACAGAAAGGAAAAAATCTGCTTTAAAGATAGAAAGACTAACACAGAGTAATATGTTGAACATGAAGCCAACACACATAAATTCAAAGCATTTTTGTACAAAGCCGTATTTATACTAGGATACAGACACCTTTATGTGTAGACAGAACATTAAATTGACTGACAGACATTAACATTAGAAAAAGGATTCATGTCTGAGCCATTATATTATTACGTTTAATTAGATTTGAGGCTAAAGAGTAAAGCCTGAACAGAGATATTCTAATATTCTAAAATCTATGCATATTGAAGAACCAAGTCTGCCCAAACCCAGTTTACAAAGAAGATCCATTGCAGATATACTCACATAGTTGGATCTTTAATGAAAACTAAGTCCTTTTGCACAGTAGGCTAAGTATTCTCTTCTTTCATGATGCCCAACAGGTAGCTGTATGCTTGATTTCCAAAGAACAGTGGTGTATATCCTACTGCAACTTTCTAGTCTTTGGTAGTACAGTTGATTCCTTTCTGTAGTGTGTTGGTTTAGGGTGTTGGGCTGTATCACGCTTGGGTATCTTCGGCCTGGTCTAGCAAAATCATCTGATTTTTGTTAACTCCAAGAAAAGCCAGTGCCATACAAGAAAGAACGATGAACCCCAGCAGGCACTCCCAAGAGCACTTACTGAAGCTACAGAAATCTTAGGTTCAACACCTTCTTGAGCATGGGAATGAATTTGTAAATATTCTTCTGGTACCTGTTTGTATATTTAGATTGCTGATATGAGACAGGTAGCTTTTAGAATAATAGGTTTAGAGCCATGCTCTTCCTCAGTTCTTATTCAAAGTTATGAATTTGTAATTATTTCCTGCAGAATAGCAGTCCTTCAACAGAGGACAAAACAGCACCACTGAATCTCAGGTTTAAGGTAAGAGTGCTTTAGATGGAGCTGTTACAAATTTATTCCTTCCAGTGAAAAAGATAAGAAATAGAAGTATTTTTTGTATTTTAAGTTGTAAATCCCTTTATGGAAGAGCAATACTATCTATTCCAACTATTCAAGAGTCAAAAGGTACAAACTGAAACTGTGTAGGCTCCATCTGAACATAAGAATATGCTCTTTTACTGTGAGGATGACAGCTTCCTCAGTAACCTGTGTGTACTTCATAAGGAGGCCAGGTACCTAACTCACAGTCTGGATTCCACACTTGAAGCTCAACATCCACCTAAAGTCAAGCATTAGATTTTCTGTTTTCTACAAGTCTAAATCCCCTAAGCTATCTAGCTCTTAGCTCTTAAAATTGGCAGTGCTTAAACATGGCGTTCTTGGACATGCACTTGTTTTATATTTGTTTCAATGTGCACGGGCTTCAGAATGAGAAGCAAATCACTGAAGCTAGCGCTACATTTCTTTGTAGAAGCTTCTTTCATTATTATGCAGAAATTTATCCATTCCTCCTGTCAGAACTGATATTCTTTATCTCTTAAATATATATAGAGCTTTGTGTTCTTACAAAGTAATACAAGAACCTACTTCTTTAAATGTAAAAGGTGCTCCATACAGTGCCTCTGCCAGGGTGTAACCCCTGAAGTGGCCTTAGTGCCATCTTTAACCCTGCTATCTCTAGCTTAGTTAACTCCTACAATAATGAACATCAGGCCTGCTTTAAGTCTCAGCTGCCTACAACAATCCCCTCGCAACTGGTACACTGAGAAAGATAACCACAGTCTTACCAGATTCACTTCTGCTGTAACATGTTCCCAAGTTATGCCATCCAGCAGGGAGTGTAAGCAAAGAGCAGTGTAAGGCTGAGGCAATCCTCATGTACCTGTTTAGGACAATTTTACAAGCTATTCATACTGCCAGAGCAGGAGCCAGTATCTGGCCCTGGGGGTCTACGAATGCAACGAACAAGAACTCATGATTTAACAGAGCAGTATTAGTAGCACGTAGATGTGCCAAGAAAACAGTAATGGACATGAGGGAATACCATTTTGTCTTGCAGAGGAAGCTAGTAGAGGCCAAGAACACAGAAAATGACATTAAATGTTTAACTCTGTGATGGAAACAAAGAGTTTTCTGTCTGCTTTCCTGAAGGTCTTAAAAGATAGCACCAGAAAATATACATGAAAAGTTGGTATTTGCTGGCTAACTTACATACAAGTGTGATGACCTGTTTAACCACAACTAGCATTAACTTTATTGGGAAAGAAAGCAGACAAAGAGTTTTAAGAACAGAGTGGTCATGGAGATAAGCTACGTACCACACATATAATTAAAGTTGTACTGCTATATGAAATAATAACAGTCATTCAGATATAAATATAACCATAATTACTGGGATAAAGTATCTAAGAGATGGTTCCACATAAAATTTTTGTAATTTTGTAACTTTGTAAAAG